CGACCTCTTTTACCATACTCAAAATCCGTCATTTAGGAGCCTACGAAAAGTGGTTTTTGAAAAATCTGGTAGGTCCTCATCATCCTTCACCCTGTTTATTATGCTGTCGATGGTTGGTGGTATTTTTTCCAAAAAAATCATGGACAATTTTCCTTATTCGAGATTTTGCTTCCTCATCGTAAGTATTCTCAAGTGAACTGGACTGGAAACTGTTTTATTTCTTTTTCGTACCGATTTCGGTTCGCCTTATTGGGTCTCTTCGAGGATATCATAAAATTTGCGAACACTCACGCAGTTTTCCACAGTAATAGTCAAGCTGTCACCATTTTTTTAAATTCAAATGATAGTTCCATACATGTAAACCACACGTTTTACTTACGCATTAAAAGTCATACCCTGTTCAAATTCAGATATTCGCCACGGCTCCATGATGTAGGTACTTTCATCCGCTTGTGAAGATGAAATAGAACTGAGCTTTCATAGTTTTTGGTAACACGTTTTTGGTCTAAATTACCAGTACCCAAATCTACAAAGAGATATCTGCATTGCGTGGATAATGAAGATTAAAACTGACTCGTTTCTCCTAATGACTTTATAACGATCTTCCAAAGAATGTGTTTACAATGGAAGTAATTGAAAATTGATAAATGTAGATACGCTCTCGAAATGAGTTTTTGATATATTTTACTTTTTTTATAGTATTTTTCTTCATGTTATTCTTTAGTTCGACAATGTCTAGCATGTTATAAATTCCTTATACCCATCGAATATTCAAAGCATAAAAATTTTTCTGGTACGCTCCTGGGCTATGTTTAAAATTTTGTGTGTTTATAACGTGTATATAATTACGTATTAGTTCTGCAGATTTAAAGGCAAGCAGTGATCAAGGTCAAATTCTCTCTTGAAAAGGTTGTTCTGGATGGCTCACTGGAAGACTGATACGAGGGGTGGGACGCGACAATGGAAAGTCGGGTACAAAAGAAGGTCAAATTCAGATTTGGAAGAATTTTTTGAGAAACAACACGCGGCGTGGGTCGTCTTAAATCACCGACAAATTTGTTGGTAGAAAAGTGAATTGTGTTCGAATGTAATGTGTCTATTTAAATAGGAGTAGTCATTGTTTTGTTTTCAAGCCGTCTCTCACCTGAGGGATTTCTAAAACGGCGTTTCCAACAGATTTGAAAGATGCCCACATGCTTCCATTGAGTTTTTAAGAAGCCATGTTTTAAAGTTTGCATCCACGCTTCCATCCTCGTTTTGTTTGTTCTAAGCTAGTCCAAGCTATTTCGCAGTGTGAGATGCAGTTTTTTGCGTGGTAGTGAATCTAAATCTGAATTAGCTATGATGATAACCAAGTCTACGATAGTGGAAGAATGACAAGGAGAAGAAGACCTTGTCAGCCATAAATTTTCCTTGTGGTGTGAGGTACTTGTCAAGTTTGTCAACATTTTTTCTTTTCTGGACATAATGAGTTTGAAAAAGTGACAAATTAGGGAGAATTGTTTGCATCTGTTAGGATCCTTTCGATTCTTCACTGGTTTTAGCTAGGCATTTATTATGTTCCCTATGATTGTGAAATTTTGACGCCTCCACATAATGTGTTAGGCTTGTAAGATCCAGCTTTTGTTATTTCCCTAGGTACGTAGAAAACATCTGATGCGATCCCACCGAAAGCTTGAAACGATTTTCAAAAAATGTGACTGGTTAAACAACCTGAAATACACAAAAATATTTGGTTTCATGTGTGACACCAACAGATTTTATGTTTAGTGTGATGGTTTGGCAGATAGAAAAAAATGTATTTTTCTGTTTTGTAGGGAAAGGTCCGTAGATGTTTCGATAAAATATTATTCATTATCATCTATAAGTTGTGTTTGAGCTTTATGTAAATATTTTTATTTTATTTTTCAGCTCATCTTGGAGACTGTTATACAACGAGTCATAACCTTGGAGCTTTCACAGCAGGGGAGGAGAAACGAATTGAAGGAAGGTGTGCTGTGGCAATATGTAGTGCCAATGGGAATATTAGACTAAAAGGGTAAGTGTAAAACGGCAAATAATTGTTATATAATCTATAGTATTCCGTTAAAATGTTTTACGCGATGGTCAAGATACCCAATCGCTATTATTCTCCGGTTATCAACTAGTTCTCTTTAAGGTCTTTCCCTTGCATTACCGACTTATTTCCTTTTATCGAGGTTTTTCTAAAAAAGTATTAAAATTGTATTTCGACTATGGGATCAGTTCCCGTATCGAAATGGTTATCACCATATTATCTACAATTAAATGAAGTCATTTGAAATTTTACTCTTCTAGTTTTACATTTTACATTTAAGGTTTTCATTTAATCTGTGGTGGCTTGTCTAATGGAGCAATGGCTTCAAGCTCTTCAAGCTTAAAAAGAATGAGAACCTTGTTAAAATTTGCAAACAAATATAATATAGCGAAAAATAGTTATACAAGAATTTTATGAACTTCAAGATATCTTCTATGCTATGCAAGTTATTAATGTTGCAACATTTTTATTGTAGTTGTGGAGTTAGAAGGGCGACTTACCCTTTAAGAGTACTACCTGGAGATTTATCAAAACCATTTCCAAGATGTTGTCACAGGATAGTCGGACCTCACAACGACACCGATAGTGACAATGAACAACCTCGGAATACCGGAAATATAGTCCTAGCGAGTGCTTTTTTGAACCCTATGCAATCAAGATAATATTTCCGAAATCGATATAAAACTACAAATGGTTGAAGAGATACTAAGCATTTTATAGAAGCTGCTTTTAACCTATTAATTAAATTTATGGCTGTGTTTGATTATCATTAGTAATTGTGAGTTGTTTGACTCTAAACTGTACTATTTATTTATAAAAGTTGTACTTGACAAGATCAAATAAGTATTTATTAAAATAAAATTTTAATAAACTGAATAAGAATTTCATTCTGCCTGTAAGTGTTACTGTTAATTCGCCCTGGTAAGGATGAGTGGCGGTGCAAGGTGAGTTGTTTACGAACTATATTAAAGCTAAGCGCAAGGCGTTTGAAACGGCTAACTGGCATTCTTGGCTATTATATTTAATATAACAATTAAAAATCGACCAAAATGTTACTTTCGGAGTATAAAGTTATTACAAATGTTGTTTAACCCTCAACTGGCGTTGTAGGGTCAGGCGGAGCCTCAGTACTTTTAAAATCCATATAAAACTTGCAAATTTAGCATTTATGCCTGGCCGCGCCATCTACCTTTACTTTGGTGCACTCATAAGCCACTCCGATACGCACGTCAACTGTCATTAAGTATTTCTCTGAATAGCCAGCGGTAAAGTGCATTTAAGGTCTGTGTGGTACCACGAAGCTGACAGTGTTTCTGAATGGCAGGTTCTTCCAAAAAGAGAGCCTAATTTTGATAAAAGTGTAAGGCTGTGGTATGATGAATTAGCTTTGTAGATGAAGTAACTTTTGTTTTGAATACAACTTTTTTTTCTTGATTCGCAACTTCTTTAAGTACTTCGTATTCTCCCTTTTTTTTGTCTTCTCACGGGGCGAATAGTCTTTTATCACTTCACTGTTTAATGCTATTTTCTCTTCTTTTTGTTCTTGCTGAGGAATAATGTTACTTATTGTTTCTCCTTTAGAAGTTAAAGTCATATGCAGGGATTCTTCTTATGCATCTTCTGAAGAAAAATTTAATCACTAACTGTGCTAAATTTAAACACTACTTCTTAACCTAAACGTCTCAACAAGTTATTGGTCAACAACGTTCATGTACGTATGTTGCCAAATATTCGATTTACAAGTCATTAAAATACTCGCAACAGGCTCTTGGTCTACTGGTGCAAAACTATTACACAAAATTAGTCAATTGGTCTAGTGATGCAAAATTCAAAATCTAGAATAAGAAGAAAGACACTTGGTCTTTTTTAAATATATCTGGTTAACCGTTACTAAGAAATTAATGGGATATATTCTGTAGATTCTTCTTCTTCTGGTTCCGATCCGTTTCGGATGTTGGAAACCATATTGGCAATCATAACCTTACTCGCTGCGGCTCGAAACAGCTCCGTTGAGGTTTTCTTAAACCATGTTCTTAAATTCCGCAGCCATGATATTTCTCCTTCTACCGGGTCCTCGCTTACCTCATTGACTTTACCTTGCAATATAGACTGTAGCAGGGAGTAACGGTGCTGATTTCTCATAACGTGTCCCAGATATTGCAATTTTATGCGTTTGATCGTAAACACAATCTCTGGTTCCTTCTTCATTTTTCCTAGAACTTCCTTGTTCGTGATCCTTGCTGTCCATGATATTCTCAGCATTCTTCTATAAAGTCACATCTCAAATGCTTCAAGTTTTTTAATAGTGGCGTCTGTAAGCGTCCATGGCCTCTGCCGCCGTACAACAACACAGAGAAAACATAGCATCTCAAATGTCTCATTTTTGTATCAATTTTTTGGTATCTATTCTGTAGATAGTTTATGCTATTTCCCACCAAAAAGCGCCATAATCCACAATTTGAGAAAATGGCGCTTGGTCTATGTGGTGCACATAACGCCGTCCATATAATAAACACATCATTGTGTTGCTGAAAAATGACTGTTAACACAAAACAAGATGTTTTAAACGCAATTATTTTTGCAACTAACATTTTTGGGCGATTTTTAAATTAATTATATTTTCTAACGGTAGTGAAGAATACTAATTAGCGATTCAAAATGACCTGCGCTTATCTTTAATATAGTTCGTAAACAACTCACCACCACATCATCCTTAACACGGCGAATAATGATGAACGTTATAGACTTTTCTATTTATTGACGTATAATAAATATTACATCCACTGCTTCGATTATCTATATATTTTTGTTCTTCTTCAGATATTGACGCCTTATTTCTAATTTTGTTTGCTAAGATCTTGGTTACAAAGTTTAAGAACTGAAGTCAATTAACATTTACGTTTATTACAAACGGATAAATAAAAGAAAATTAAGAAAAACTTACCTAAAGCCCACCAATCAACGGAAAATCCATAGTCTTCACCCCTTAAAATTTCGGGGGCTATGTAATTAGGCGTACCGCAGAACGTAGATGTAGTATCGCCTGGCCTAATACCTTCTTTACACATACCATAATCAGTCAACTTGATATGACCCTCGTGATCCAATAGAACGTTATCAAGTTTCAGATCCCTATAGATGATTCCCTTGCAGTGGAGAAAGTTTAAGGCGAGGGAGATTTCCGCAGCATAAAATCTAGAAAAAATAGTAATAATAGTTTAATAAAAGAATATAATTGTTTGGTTTAAGATTTAAAAGCAACATTTAGGAATAAAAACAAATTAAAACAGAAAGACGGTATTAGATTTAATTTCAATGCAGCGCATCTGTCAGCCGCTTATATGTATTTGAACCTCATTAGGATCCTCAGAGCGACATCAGAGCGAAACGAATTGTCAACGTTATCCATTTATAAAATATCCTAACGTTCCTGTCGAAAACACACACTCAAGCATAAAAATAGCTGTACCCCCTCCTTGAATATTTCTTTCTATACAAAGTGATATTTCTTGAATTAGAATCATTTCTAACTGAACAACACGATGTAGTGGATGGTGTTACGTTTCCAGACCACTGACAAAAGGTAAGTCTAGTATTTCTTTCTTCTTATTTTTGCTTTCTCTTCGCCTATTTTTGACTTTTTATTTTCTTACTAAATTAGGGTCCCAAGTATGATCCGAAATATAATCTGAAGTATGATCCGCAGTATAATCTAATCTTAATTTAAAGATTATATCCGTCCAATATTAATCCAACGTCGGTCTCAGTATTTTCCAATTTGAGTCTTCGGTTTATTCCGAAGTCAATTCACCGTTAGTCCGACATAATCTTGAATATGTCCCGTCTAATCCCGATGCAATATAGTTTTCCCCTGCTCAACATTCGCCATCCGTGTCTCCAGGAATTGGCTATACAGGAAGCCAATGTCCAGTTAAGTTGTTTTCGAGATCAAATATTGTGTTGGCTTCACTGTTCTTTTTAGTATAAGGGTAAGGATACTTTATTTAGACTAGAATAAAACAACAAAATGCGAAGATTACCGTACTATAAGCCTCGTGAGTCATCTCCTAAAATTGTTCCTAAAGATAATTCATAAGAGACTCTACAAGCACTGTGAAAGTCAAATTTCCCCCAACCAATTCGGGTTCACAAATACTGTTGGTACTAGAGAGCACGCATCGGAAAAGCTAGATCCACCATCCATCAAAGCTAGTTGTAACTTGTTAAGATTTTAATTGAAATTTTGTTATAATCTTTTTAAATACCCTGTACTTATAACACAAAATAATTTCATATTCTTGTAACGAGGAACAAGCAGTTTTTAAATTTAAAATAAAATTCAGGATGTTTCATTAAGAAAAACATATCTTTGATGCAATACAGTGTTATCGAAGGCCCTGTACATTATTCGTAACTAATTTTAGAGTGAGGCTACCTCCTAATTTTATAAATAACTTTGTATGGTATCTCCTACAGATATAACGGACTTGTCACAAAACCTGATCACCCTGTATACTAAAGATTACTAAAATCACGTGCAGAAAAGCATATAAAATACTAACGATACTAACCTCGCATGTTCTTCGGGCAACCTCCTCTGCCTCTGCATATGAAACATCAAATCACCACCCCTAACGAACTCAATAACGAAGAACAATCTCGAAGGCGTTTGAAAGCACGAATGCAATCCGACTAAAAACGGATGATTGGAAGCAGTTTCGAAAACGTGTTTCTCAGTTTGCACCCAATCGATATCCTCGTCGTCGGTAACTAGAGCTTTCTTAATCACCTTCATGGCATATATACGTTTTGTCTTTTTCAGTTCTACCATCAGGACTTTAGCGTACGAACCGCGACCAATTACGCGGATTAATTCGAAATCATTCAGGGAATATTGGCGTTGAGAGCCGGGTTCTAAATCGTCTACAGGCTTATTGGGATCTTCCACGGGAACAGATTCGCCTAAAAAATACATTCAATTAAAATACATCAATTAAAAACCATTTTTTTATTATTTTATTAAACATATTTTAATTCACATTTTGAACAGTGATCTTGATTACTTTCCGGAAAATTTTGAGACATTAGTGAGAAGCAGGTTGAGCGTTTTCACCACGATATTAAATTGGAAAAACGCTACAAGGGTCGCTGGAACAACAACATGATGGGGGACTACTGTTGGTCACTTTACCAAGAAGTTCTACAAGCGACTCGGTGCAGAAAAAGCAAAAGCTTCAAAGAAAAAAAAATGAAAAGATGTATAAAGGAATTCAGTCTGACTAGTGAAACCGACATTACTACACTGTATCAAAAAAATCAGCTTAATAAAGTCAAAAAACATTTCAACCAACATTTTTTTGTTGGCCTGTGATATTTTAGCGGCGTTTACTTCGAAATTAATCTTAGTAATGACTCATTTTCAGCCTTTTATCTTCTTCTTTCAGTACCCTGTCCAATTATCGAACGTTGGCGATCATTTTGGCAATGATAACATTGTTTACGGCGGCTCTAAATAAATTAGCGGTGGTCTCTTGATACCATTCTCGGAGATTTCGGAGCCAGGATGTTCTTCTTCGGCCTGAGCCTCTCCTTCAGGCGATCTTACCCTGTATTATGAGGTGTAAAAGGTTATACCTCTCTGGATGTCTCATTACATGAATCAAATATTGTGACTTTCGAATTTTTATAGTTTTTGTTATTTCTATGCTCTTTTTCGTTCGATGTAAAACGATTTCATTTCTTATTTGATCAACCCAACTTATTCGCAATACTCGTCGATAAATCCACATCTCAAAGGCCTCCAATTTTTTCATTAATGTCTCTGTAAGGGTCCAGCTCTCCATACCATACAGCAATGTGGAGAATATGTAGCAGCGTATTAATCTGATCTTAAGGTTTAACGTAATACATATTACGTAGCCTTTTATACATATTCTAATAGGTGGAAGCGAAAATCTATGTACTGGACACTAACTCAAAAGCCGATTCATAAATTTTGACAACAAAAATCGCCTTATTTTGATAGAAAACAAAACCCAACACATTGTCCCAACAAATAAACTGTTGTAAATAGGTAAAAGAAATAATAAATAAGACTTACTCACAATCAGTTTAATTAAACTATCTAGACGACCGATTTCGCTTTCTACAATATGCAAAGCATCTTCAGGTCTCGATACAAAGTTAATTAAATGCTGAAATAATAAAACCCATATTAGGGTGTTGTCTTATAAAGATAAACAAAGATAAATGATATAAATTACAGTAATTATGCCAATATTATATGTCTGTGGTTTTTCAAAATGAATAAACTGTTTAAGCAGACAAGGTAAGACCCACAAATTGGTATAAAATAGTCTATTGAATTGTAATAAATTAGTAAATAATACTCTATTAATTAATGGTTGGAAGAACATGGTTCAAACTATCCTGTATTGCTGAATGGGAAACTTCAGTTTTTACTATTGTAATGGTTTGACAATAAACAGGGAAGTTCCTCAAGAACTGGTTCTTCCAACCATTAATTAATAGAGTACCAGCATGTAAGTAATGTTTTGTTTATTTACTAATTTATTACAATTCAATAGACTATTTTATACCAATTTGTGGGTCTTACCTTGTCTGCTTAAACAGTTTATTCATTTTAAAAAACCAGAGACATGTAATATTGGCATTATTACTGTAATTTATATCATTTATCTTTGTTTATCTTTATAAGATAACACCCTAATATGGGTTTTATTATTTCAGCATTTAATTAACTTAATATCGAGACCTGAAGATGCTTTGCATATTGTAGAAAGCGAAACCGGTCGTCTAGATAGTTAAATTAAACTGATTGTGACTAAGTCTTACTTATTATTCATTTTACCTATTTGAAATGGACTCACACAAGCAACACATTCATGATTTGAATGTTGTAAATAATTTGCAGCATACAGCATAACATGAATACAATAAAAAACAGTGATTGATACAGAAAATTTTGAGTTTTGACAATATAAATAGGGCAGCTTTCTTGTTTATGTCTAGTTTTCCAACGATTACCTTACTGTTCATGTTCGTGGGGTGAAAAAATGTTTATAAGCCAATAACAAGAATAGTATTCTAAGCTCTAATTAATATTCTAATATCTAATTAATTTGATACATCCTAATTCTCACATCGAGGAGTTATACGTTTTGATTGAATTAGTTTAAATTAAATTATGCTATGCCAGACTCGCCGGAGCGACTATATATACGAGATATGTACACCAATTACAACAGAGAACACACTTACCAGTGACATCTGGCGGAGGTTCTGGAAAATCTTTTTCTCGTATCTCCCACTTCGACTCGGTTATTGGCGTATTATTTGCTTGAGCTTCCCCATTATGATCTTCTCGAATTACGGGTTCTTGATGCTCACTCGTGCAAGGTTTATTTACAGCCTTGTGGCATTTCTTATGCACGAGAAGTTTACATTGGATACACTTGAAACCTTGTCTGCCTAATCCCCAGATTCTATCGTTGCAATACGCACAAAATGCTCTCTGAAAAATTAAAATACAAACGTTAAAATTTTGACGAATTTAGTGAAATTATATTTTTTATGGAACTGGGTCAAGGTATTTTTAATCTCATGATAGATATACAAATGCACAATGTTGACAGTAAACTTTAAACGCTTACGGTATAAACGATATTAAGTATCCAGGAATTATACAAGGGTATACATTTGTTGTTAGACTAGTTAAAAAAGTATAAGTAAGCTCAAATTTTAATAATTTGAACGTCTATTATTATTAAAATACCCATTTTACCATTACATTTTACACAGACTTAGGGGAAGATCTCCAAGCCGTTGGGTAGATCAACAAAAACATTGATTAACTAAGTGTTACATGAAGCAGAACAACTAGCCCAGGACAGGAAAGGATAGAGGACAATCGCGAAAAAACTGTAAAGGTCTGATGGTGTCTCCACATCCCAAAAGGGATTAGGACTGAGGAAGAGTACCCATTTTAAAAAAAGAGCTACAAAAAAGTGGACTTGGCAATCACCAAATGGCTTGAACAAGAACGAAATTGATTTTATATTTACTAACAAAAAAGACGCTGTTCAAGACGTAACTGTATTAAATCAATTTTCAACCGGGAGCGACCATAGAATGGTTAGAGGGAAGGTAGTCTTGAAAGTAAAGAAGGGACGAAGAAAGGGACGATGTTAACAAGGACTAAAAATGTTACGTTCACTGCGATTACTAACACAAGGGCATACCAGAAAGAAATAGATAGAAACCTTCAGAATGACAGATGAAACCGATATTGAACAACTTAACGAAAGGTTGGTGGACGCTCTAAGGAAGGCACAGAAGAACTGTCAAGTTAAGCAAACAAGGAAAAATGAAAAACTTACAGAAGGCACAAGGAACCTAACGCAAAAAAGAAGGAAAATGAAAGATGAGCACTCAGTGAACATCTGAATTTAAATAAAACAATTTCAAAAGCTGTTCATAAGGAAAGACATAAGGGATTATAACACTAAAGAAACAACTAATACCATAGAACAAAATAAAAGCCTTAAAGTTCTAAAACGAAAGTTGAAGACAGAAACCAGGAACATTTATAAGCTAAAAAATAGACAAGAACATGCTGTATACGACCAACAAGAAATTATGAAAATTATCGAAGAGTACTATAGAACATTATATCGTCGAGATGTTCACATTCCAAAGGTGGAAATCCCAGCCATACAAAATCAAGGATCAGAGGAACTTCCAGATATAACCGAAGAGGAAATCGAATCAGCGTTGAAAGGTGTGAAGAGCAGCAAATCACCTGGAAAAGATAGAATTGTAAGTGAAATGCTAAAATTAGGAGGCGAATGCGTCATAAAAGCTTTAAAAAACCCTTTATAATGCTTGCCTCTTTGAAGGAGTTACACCAGAAAAATGGAATAGTGCCATTATGATAATATTGCACAAAAAAGGAGATGTAACAGAAATTGGAAACTACAGACCTATCAGCTTGTTATCTCATTTATATAAGCTCTTTATGAAAATAATTACTTACAGATTGGAACCTAAGCAGGATTTACACCAACCATTAGAGAAGGCCGGATTTAGGAGTGGCTTTGGAACGAATGACCACCTACAAGTAATAAAATCCTTAATAGAGAAAGTTACAGAATACAACAAGCCATTGATATTATTATTTGTAGACTTTAAGAAAGCGTTTAACTCAGTCCAACATAGCTCCATATTAAGAGCTCTTACAGAGTGCAGTATTGATCATAGGTACACAACTCTTCTTCGGAATATATAGATAATAGCGCAACAGCTGCAGTTAGAATGTATTATGGCAACACAAATACATTTCCCTTCGAGAGGGGTATTAGGCAAGGAGATACCATCCCTCCTAAGCTATTCACCGCTTTGTTGCAGAGTGTTATGAGAAACAATAATTGGGAAAATATTGGAGTCAACATAAATGGAGAGTTTCTGAACAACTTGAGATTTGCAGACGACATAGTCGTTATTGCAGACCGGGTAGATCATGCCTGCCAGCTCCTTCAAGACCTTCAGAGCTCTTGTACACGAGTTGGACAACATATGACCAACCTTGTACTGGCGAAAAACATCTCAACTAATGGCACGCAAATTGAACAGGTGTATAGCTATAAATATCTGGGCCACAAGATTAATTTAGGAAGAGATAATCAAACAACGGAGCTAAACAGGAGAATAGGACTGGCATGAGCGACTTACGGAAAACTGAGAGAAGTCTTTAGATCAAATATTCCCATGTGCTTGAAAAGAAAGTCTTTGATCAATCTGTACTCCCAGTTCTAACGTATGGAGCAGAAACATTGACCCTTACCAGAAAAGTAATCAATAAAACACAAGTAGCACAGTGATCGATGGAGAGGTCAGTGTTGAATATATCTCTCAGACACAGAGTATCAAATACAATATTTAGGAGAAAAACTGGTATTACTGACGCAGTTCAAAGGATTACAACATTGAAATGGAACTGGGCGGGGCATGTTGCCAGATTAAAAGATAGAAGGTGGACGAAGAAAATTCTAGAATGGAGACCTAGACACGATGCTTATCGTAATCGAGGACGTCCTCCAACAAGGTGGTCATCAAGTGCATTCAGCACAACTGGATTCAGGGTGTTCAAGATATAATGCATTGGAATTATTTACAGGAGGCCTATGTCCAGCAGTGGACTCAAAACGGCTGATGATGATATTGGTAAAAATGATAACAAAATCAAAAAGAAGTAGAGAAATCTAAAAAATTTATAGGATACCGAAATTTTGATCTGGTGCCTTTATAACAAATGAAAAAACAAAATAACAAATATCAATGATTTTCACTGTTACAGATCGTATAGGCGGAAAAAATTTCGGAATTACTGGCATACACTGTAGCTATATTTAATAAAAATTAGAAAGAAATAAATATTGTGTAACATACCAATTGCATTACAAAATTCCCATACACCAATGATGTTTTTATTATCTTAGAAAATGATCGACTTAGAAAATACAAATCGACTGACTGCTACTGCATTCAATATGACTGTCATATTGAATTTACAATAGAAACAGAACAAAATCAATCCATTAATTTTTTAGTTTCAGATTAAAAATCACCAGACTTAAAAATAAACATGAGTTCTCCGTATTTCATAAACATACCCATACTGACACGACTATACACAATTCATTATCCCATCATACACAACATAAACTGGCAGCCTATCACTGCATGGCATGATACATACATTAATAGAAATTCCGATGTCAAAATACAACTTCATTAAGCAAATAGCAGTAAACAACGAACAAACAATTAAGAAAATGTTAAATAAAAAACTACACAAGAAAGCCCTGAAACTAGTATTTCCACCACCAGAGAAAACCAAGAAGCTTCTGCTCCATTACATCTACAGGCAAAATAACAACACAAATAGCCAAACACATAAAAAAGAAAGAAATAACACCAGCTTTTGGAACAAACAACAACTCAGGCAAATATATTAAAAACAACAACAGCTAAAATAGAAAGAACTTACAAAGTGGTGTATACAAACTTAAATGTAGCGACTGTCCAAAAACTTACATCGGTCAAACTGGTAGAACTTTTAACAAACGTATAGAAGAACATAAAAGGAGTTTCAATAATAGGAGAACAGATTCTACATACGCACTTCACCTTCTAGATCAAAATCATTCTTTTAATGACGAATTTCAAACTCTTCACATCCAAAATAAAGGCCTTTAGCTAACTTTATTAGAATCTATGGAAATTAACAAATAAAAAAACACAGATATAAGTGTGAATGACCAACTTAAGACAAACCTTCTCCCCTCGTCAACCTATTTAGTTAAAGACTTTAAATTGTAAACACATTCAAAAATAGATAACTTGAGAACGGCACTCTGCCGAAACAGCTGTAGTGATAAAATTATATAATGAAATTTGTGGAAGTTTTATAAACAAAGTTTTCAGTGTTTTATTGTTATATTATCTTATATCATTACTAGAAATATTTTTGTAACTCACCCTATTGAATCTTTTAGCTTGGAATATGTGTCCATTAACCCTATAAAGCTTCCTCCACCGACGGGCTCCCCTTCTATAAATACTCCCTAAAAAATATATTTACATGTAGTTTACCAGATACATCAAACTCATCAATTATTTACTTAGAATCAACAGCCACATCGCTCAATAAGTCCCTACCTAATAAAACAAAGCGTTTTGTATAAAATTTGACTTTATTCCTTAACAAATAGTGCAATACTTTTATAAAACGATTCGCCTTATACTTCTTCTTTACGTGCCGTCTCTGCGACGGAAGTTGGCAATCATCATGGCTATTCTAATCTTAGTTGCTGTCGCTCTGAATAGTTCGATTGCTGTGCATCCTTAGCATTCCCTCAAGTTGCGCAACCATGAGATTTTTCTCGTTCCTACACTTCTCTTGTTCTGGATTTCCATATTCTAATCCAGATTCTTCTCCATACTCAACTATCTTGTTAATAAGCTTTTGGAGGTCTTGGAGGTTGTCTGCTATTATGATAGTATAATCCGCATATCTAATGTTGTTAATTGGTGTTCCATTGACCTCTATTCCTGCTGTTTCTGCCTCAAGAGCTCTTTTCATAATTTCTTCAGAGGATGCATTGAATAGTAGTGGTGACAATACACACCCTTGTTGCACAACTCTTTTAATTTCGAACTCTTCTGATGTGTGTTCATTAATGCGTATTTGTACCTGCTGTTTATAATATAGATTTGTTATAATTCGAAGGTCATTGTATTACAATTGTTTTGCTTTGAGGACGTCCATTAGCTCTTTGTGGCAGACTTAATCGAAAGCCTTGGTTATTTTGGTTCATATCCAAGCATCTCTGGATTAGTACGTTGAATGTAAAAAGAGCTTCCCGGAAACCTACGCCTCTATGGAATCCAAATTGGGTTTCTTCAATATCCACATCAAGTATTTAGCAAATGCGTTTATGGACGATCTTTAAAAACATTTTAAGTGTGTAAGATATCAGGCTTATGGCGCGATGGTCGGTGCATTCTCTAGCATTTTTCTGTTTTGGGAGACAAATAAATGTTGAGGTTAACCATTCTTTGGGTATGTTACCCGACTGATAAATTTCACTAAAAATCGCCTTATATTCATTTTAGCAAAAGTTTTTTATTTGATTCAAATCATCTTTCTTGAAGCATCGTTTTAAAGTTTGAATACAAACAATAGTCAGTTGAGGCCAGATCTGAAAAAAAAGTCGGGTGTAGGGGCAATTTTCAGAGCACTTTAATTTCCTTCCTGGAACTATCACTAACACTAACCATTTTTTAAAGTTCTTTTCCTTGGAGGTTTTGGAAGACCTTCAACTAGTGATATCCACTCGGGTAATCACCCATTATACTGCTGAATGAGGAAATGGATCCAAATTTCATTTAGTGTCAAATATTAAGACAAAATCCTCTGTTTACTGCAATGACACAGTTACAAAATTGGTAACTAACTTAAAACAGTTTTCTTATTCAGAAAATGCAAAATTATGAAATCCTACCTTCTGATATCCCCAATTCCACTGTTATCTTTCGCAACTTCAATTTACGATCACCCCAAACGATTTCTTAAACTATTTTTCCAGGAAAACTGCCGAATTATGCATCACCAGATCACCACAGACATCAAGTTAGATCACAAGAGCATGTTTGTGTTAGTATGACAGGGTTTAAAGTCAGCGTATCACCTTTTAATCGTTATTTTTGACGAAGCAAGTCCTTATAACACTTACCAAGCCATTGTTTTGGTTGAACAATATTTTTTCCCATTAGGAACAAACGCAAAATTCAACTTTTTACAAATTGCTACCGCAACATCACTTCATTCACTCAAACTTCAGCTTTTTGGCAAATTTTGACAGTCAATTTGAAGGTTGGTACTTTTAAAATTATTTGATTTGTTACTATTAGTGTCATCCATATTCCGGTCCGAGACCTATTGAGTTATGAGGTATCTATCATCAATTTTACTCACATAAAAAATATTAAAATCTAATTAAGGAGCATTAAATAAAGTGAATGCATTCTACAGTTAATACAAATTAGTGAAAGTAAATAAAAATATAAAACTATAAAAATGATGTTATAAAATTCAGAAGAACATACTACATAGAATAAAGGCAATAGACAAATATTTATTAATCAATCTTTAGTTACACTGTAATAATAATTTTGAAGATCATTTACTTAAATATTCTTCTTTCACTACCCTGTTCGATTATCGAACGTTGGCCAATCATATTGGCAATAATAACTTTGTTTACGGGGGCTCTAAATAAATTAGCGGTTGTCTCTTGCTACCATTCTCGGAGCCACGATGTGCTTCTTCGGCCTGGGCTTCTCCTTCCGGCGATCTTATCCTGTATTATGAGGTGTTCGAAAAGAAAAATTCAGAGAGGTATATCCTTCTATACCTCTCTGGATTTTTCTTTTCGAATCTCTCTTTCGAATTTTTATCGTTTTTGTTATTTCTGTACTCTTTTTCATTCGATGTAAAACCATTTCATTTCTTATTCGATTAACCCAACTTATCCGCAATACTCGTCGATAAATCCACATCTCAAAGGCCTCCAATTTTTTCATTAATGTCTCTGTAAGGGTCCAGCTCTCCATACCATACAGCAAGGTTTAACGTAATATCTCTATTAATTAGAATTTTCTTTAATTTATATAAGGCGGTTCTGGCTTTTTCAATGCGTATTCTTACCTCTTTATTTATATCCCAGTTATCGTTAACGTTTGCACCCAAAAAGGTAATATTTTGGATAATACCAAGACAAAAATTATTATTCAGTGATTTGGGAAACATAGTTCAAACTATCCTGGATTGCTGGTGATGGGTGATTCTCGTACCGGCATCATTTAATTTATCTGGTACCTTTAGACCTGAAGATGCTTAGCAAATTGTAGTAAACGAAACCAATCGTTTTGATGATAAAATTAAATTAATTGTAAGTCTTTATTTCTTTTTACCTGTTTGAAATGGACTCACACAGGCAACACATTCATAAATTGTAATAGAGCCTTCAAAAATCCCACAGCAAAGCGATTCTTTCCTCAAATTAGTTACAATTTATAGTTAGACAAGTTAGACCAAAGTTAGAACAAAGTTAGAGTTGGCGAATCTTTTTCACAGGACAGGTTAGTGGAAAGTGGAGTGCCTCAGGGTTCTGTCCTTGGACCTCTGCTTTTTACGGTTTACACCAGCGATATTCCTTATTATGTCTCAAGTAAAATATCGTTTTACGCTGACGACACAAAAATATATGCCAATCCAAACACAAACCAGCTAACCCTCCAAATGGACTTGGACTCTATTTTAACTTGGTGTTCCCAGTGGTTACTACCCTTAAACGCGGAAAAATGTGCTTCGAATTGGCAAAAATAACCCACTTGTGCCGTACTTTGTTAACGGGCAGCCATTAGAATCTGTGTTTTCGTATAACGATCTTGGTGTTATTGTGAACAGCAGCCTAACTTGGTCCGATCATATTACCTCTATTTGTAAACGTGCAAACTCCAGACTGTATCTTATTCGGAGGTGTTTTTCCGGGAGTTTTCAATGCAATTATTTTGCAAACTTTACACTCTGTACGTAAGACCCATACTTGAATACGCTGGACCAACGTGGTATCCCGATCTGGTTCGAGACAAGACTCTGTTGGAAAATGTCCAAAGAAAAGCCACTCGAATTTCTTTGGGACCGAGAAGACCGTCTTATGCAGAAAGACTTAGTATGGCAAACCTCACTACGTTTGAACTTCGCCGACAACGTGGAGACTTAATTACAACATTCAAAATACTAAAATTCAATTTTGGAAACCTCGAGGAAATATTTATCATAAACCAAGATGAACGCCTCAGAGGTCATCAATATAAACTAAAGAAAGAAAATTTTTCTATAAGACAAAGACAGAACTTTCTTCCAAATAGAGTTTTTGAGTGCTGGAATAACCTCAACGACAACATTGTCTCCGCTTCCTCTACCAACTCGTTCAAAAACAGACTCGACAGTTTTATATTATAGTTAAAATATTGTTTTTCTTTTAAACCAAAAATTGTAATTTTATTCCTTTTAGTTGTAATTTTTGTTATTTACTAGTAGGTGATTAATGAAATTTCTTTGTTTTTGGGCATAATAGGGACTTAGTTCCTCTGCCCTCGCTTATATTATAATAATAATAATAGTAATAATTTAATTGTCGGTCCTCGGTGAGATACAACTGGATTGGAGAAGACATAAGGATCTTTATCTACCTACTTTTCGCGGTTGCGGAAAAAAATTAGAGAAGAAACAATGAGGCTAATATTAGAACAACGAATTAGCCAGTACATTTCCCGAATTTAAATCCCATAGAGACCTATGACGTACCAAAGTACCAATGAAGCATAATGGATAGGATCATAATGGAATCATAAAAAGTCTTTTCTAAGGTAATTTTAGATCTCATCTACGCCGTGAAAAGCAAACAGAAATTCCAATACAACCTTGACCAATACTCTAGCGAAAGGATTTTTTCTCAGATGTGTAAAAACTAAGTTATTGGTCACTTATCGCGGGTGTGGTAAAGGTTAAAAAGGTACAATTCATAGCCTATAACTTTTTCTTGCAATGCACTGTAATGTAGCTGCAGAGAGAACAATGGAGAGGCCGACGTTGAATGTATCCCGCGGAGCCAAAGCTTCACATTAAATATGGTAACTGGTATGGAGAAAAACTGGTATTACGGACACAGTTAAAAGAATTACAACGCTGAAATGGAACCTAACAGGACATGTTGTTAGAGTCAGAGATGAAAGATGGACCAAAAACATTTTAAAATGGAGGCGTAAACACTTATCATAATCGAGGACGTCCTCCAACAAGGTGGTCGGACGACATCAAGCACATCCAGCAGAACTAAATCCAAGGTGTTCAAGATCGAATCTCTCTCTATCTATCTATACAGCCCTGAACATCCATCCTTGGATATAGACCTCCTCCTCCTTCTTCCATGCCTCTCTATCTTGGGCAATTTGCATCCATTTTGACCCGGCGCGTTTCTTCAGGTCATCTGACCATCGCATTTGAATTTGTGGCAAAATGAGATGCCATGAATAAGATGCCGAGAAGATTTGGCGCAAGATCGAATGCAATAGAATTATTTATGGAAGGCCTATGTTCGGCTTTTTCTTCTTCATGTACCATGTCCTTTCAGAACGTTGGTTACCATCATAGCTATCTTAATTTTATTCACTGGATCCCTAAATAGCATGCTTGTATTCGGCAGTGGACTCAAAACGGATAATGATGATGATGAACTTGTTTTTTGGTAAAAATAGCAATATCTGCACCAATATGTAACTGCCAAACTATAAGTATCATATTCTGATTTTCAAGATTTTATTTTTTGAAGTGTCTACATGGTTTAGAGTAAAGTTACGTCTTTTATTAAATAATACTCTTAATGCAAGTTTAATAATTAATTAGCCTAGTTGTTTTTCCAGCGCTGTATTGGCAGTAACTAAAATTAATTCATTTAAACGTGGAATTTAAGCCAATGGTAAATATTAGATTATAGAACGAGACACTGAAGAGGCAATGAATTCATGTACGTATTAGATTTTATTTTATTAGATTACTCGCTGCCGTGTACCTTTCGTATTACATTACTTCTAGTTTCATTAACTCTCTATTTAGAGAGAATAATCTGATTAAGAATAATTTACATTAACAGGAGTTCATTGTGACTTACGAACTAAAGGGAAACGAAATGCTGATTAAGGTAACTCTTGTGGGAGAAATTTTTAGTTGTTTATCGAAAGAAAAATATGCGAAAAAAAGACAGGAATACAAGTAATCTAATATTATGTTATGTTTAATGAAGTTGACTCACGGATGGAGGAATAAGTATTGTTAATTTTGTTTCCCGTGGAATGGGGATCGTTGCAGATGGTTTTGTCAAAATCACATTTGATATTTTTATTGGTTCTCGTTCCAAAGTAGGATTTATAATGGCTTGGTCGTTGTACTAGTTATGAATCATCACTTAGGCTCTGTATCTCCTCAAGTTAAGGCTTCTTTTAATAATGGGGGATTCTGCAAATAAACTGTTGTGCTGCTCTTTGTTGTTGATGTTGTTCAGCGGGAAGCCAAACCCGCAGCCAAACTATAAGCTCCTTGGACCCCATACGATTTCTTCCAGAATTTTTACGAGTTTCTTTAATAAACTTTAGTGAAGCTAGGTCCTCAGCTAGGACAGGTATCGTTGTGCAATGAGATTGTGAAACCACAGAGAACCAATTACCCGCTGTTTATTGTCTATTGATTAACGACTCTTAAGGAGTGTGTTGGAGGTCATTCGTCTTTCAGCGTATAGGGGGACAAGGAAGGAGCCTCCACGAGGTCAATAGTGCCACATCAACTACAGAGGAAACACTATTGACGGCGTCCCCTGGAAACGTCTACTAGTAGACAGCTAATCCTTCCAACACCGGACCAAACCAAATCAGATGGCAAAGATCAAGTCACAACGGTTCTTCTCAGAGCCAACACTGACAGTAGCGAGCATAAATATCGAGGGCATCTTATCAGAATTCTGCAATAACACGAAATGTGAGGTATTGTGCATCCAGGAAACCCACAAAGACCTAACTGCAGCGAGATCCAAAGTCTCCGGTATGAAACTGATTGCGGAGATACCACACAATAAGCATGGGAGCGCGGTATTTGTGAGAACTCAAATCATAGTCTCATTTGTCGGAACAACAAATGTACACGGTATAGAGATAACAACCACTGAAATCGGAAAATGCACAACAACCTCGGTAAGCCCCCAAACCAGCTTTTTATATTTTCAGCCAAAACTAACTTCCAATCACAACCCAATCAGCTTGTACTGGGAGACTTTATCAGTCACAGTTTACTCTGGGACTATGCAAATTCGGACACAAATGGAGACATAGTAGAAGCATGGGCCGAAACGAGTGGCCTAATATTAATCCATAATCCTAAACTTCCACCACCTTTTCAGAGCAAAGTTTGGAAAAGAGGATATACCCCCGATATTTGTTTTTCAAGTAACAACCTCAAAGACCGATGTACCAAAGTCGGCATAGACCAATTGGTATAAATATTTTTTCAATTATCAGACCACAAGCTATTCCATTCAGAAGGAGATTTAACTTCAAAAAGGCAAAAGTATGCAGACATGCTAGATTCTGAGCTGCTACGTCTTGAACCAAAAGTAGAGAACTACGAAAAATTTGTAGAGGTACTGAAAAAAGTCTAGAAAAGCTATCCCCAGAGGATGTAGACAACAATATGTTTCCGGCATGTCCAGCGAGTCCAAAGAACTGATGAGAACATACAAAACCCTCTATTTCACTGACCCTTTTAACCAAGAAACGGTTTACTACTTACCAGTACTACTCCAACAGCTAAGTCAAGCCAGACAAGAAAAGTGGATTGAGACCCTGGACAAAATGGACATGACATATAGTAGCAAAATAGCATGGAACCTTGTAAAAAAAACTTAGCAGCGATCAAAAAGATCATAAACCACCCTGCAAGGTTACAGCAAACCAAGTCGCTACTGAACTCCTTATGAATGGAATAACTATGAACCGATATACGGACCCAAACACTAGAAGAAGATTGGAAACAAACCACCTAGGAACTCCTTTTACGCTAAAAGGAACTCCACGACTGTATGAACAGGTTAAGAAACGGGAAAGCTGCAGGTGCGGATGATATATGCACTAAACAAATAAAGCATCTAGGCCAAGGAGCAAAAAACTGGATCTTGCAATTTTATATCACGTGCTGCAAATTCTGCGAAATTCCAAAATCACGGAGGAAATCTAAAGTAATAGCCTTGTTAAAACCAGGAAAGGACCCAGAAAACCCCAGTAACTACAGACGTATCTGGCTTTTGTGTCACTTTTTCAAACTATATGAGAGACTCATACTCGCCAGAATAGAAAAAAAATGTCGACAAGCACCTCACCCCATAACAAGGAGGATTCAGACCCTTCAAATCTCGCGCCGGTAAGTTCTCGCACTAACAAAGCACATTGAAGAGGGTTTGAAAAAAAACTTATAACAAGGAGCTGCTTTCGTAGATTTGACAGCAGCCTATGACACATTAAGGCAAAAAACATTGCTCCGCAAATTATACGACACTTTAAATGACCACCATCTGGGTAAAGTGGTATATACCTTACTGCAAAACAGACGTTTTGCGTTATGTTGGAGGGTAAAGTAAGTAGGTGGAGAGTTAAAAAAAATGGCCTCCGACAAGGAAGTGTTTTAGCACCAATGCTCTTCAATATATACACAAACGACCAACCTACGCCGACCAACCGATCGTGATCTATGCTGACGATCTTACAATATGTGCTCAACGAAATAGTTTTGAAGAAGTAGAGGAGAAATTCGAAACTGCCTTAAAAACAGTGATAGCGTACTACCTGCAGAATTGCCTCAGACCCAATCCCTCTAAAACCCAAGTCTGCGCTTCCCACCTTCACGCAAAGGAAGCCAAGCGAAAAATCCAAATTGCGTGGAATGGTAATACATTAGTACACACAAACCAACCTATATATCTTGGAGTAACTCTGGACCAGCCCCTTAGGTCGTTGGTCCAGGTCCCTCACCTACAGACAACATTGCATAACAACGAGACGGAAAGTAACAACTAGGAACAGCATACTCAGAAAGCTAACGGGAAGTAAATGGGGTGCACGTCCTGGCGTTTTAAGAACAACGGCACAGACACTGTGTTTCTTAACTGCTGAATATGCGTGCCCCGTTTGGGGCAGATCTGCCCACACCAAACAAGTTGATACTGCGCTAAATGAGACATGCAGGATATTCACAGAGTGCATGAAACCAACGCCACTCTCAAATCTATATAAAGGAGCTGGTTTTGCATAACTCTTAACACGCAGAGGCGTTGCAGGGCACATAGAGACAAATAAACAGATCGCGGAGGAGCGGCATGTCCTATACAAAGCTCGAAAACCACGGAAGCGACTAAATTCTAGGTTCCTTGGAACAGTGCAGGATTAACCGTCTGAGTATTTTCCTCTTCCCCAGATTCAATGGACCGGCCAGTCCCTAGAATTTAAAACATGGAAAACTCTGAATGAGATAAGAACGGGGGTAGCTGCAGTAAATTAAACATGACAAAATCGGGAAAAATGGACCAAGATGATGTGAACTGTGACTGTAAAGAAACACATAATGTGTGAAACATCTTCTTATATGCAGAAACTGTCGTCATCGATGTACCTTCAAAGATTTGTGGCTCGCCAACAAAGATGGAACCGACGTAGCCCGATACTGGACCGAAATTTTATGAATGACATGTCCAGACAATTTAAATGCCCCGTAAATGTGCACCAGTCACGTAAACATGGCTGAAAGGCTGATAAAACCTGTGTCCATTATATGTGCACACGACAGAGAACTAAAATATATGGTATACATGGCAGTTAAAGTGTTAAAAAGTTTGTAAAAAAATAATTAATACGTAAATACAAATTATTTTGACGAGTTCCTTAATTTTGAAACTTAGTGTGCACTACACAATCTATGTAAAAATAAAACAGAATCTCAGTTATTTAATAAAATTTGTGTATAATACGTGATCTCTCTGTTAAGATACAAACTATGTAAAAATAAAAACAAAATCTGTAATTCGCTATAATCCGTGTATAATACGTGATCTCTATGTTAAGGCGTGTTTATGAACTTTGCATTTGCGGCAAAATCATAAACACAACTGCACAAGCGGAAGCAGACGTTTCGACCTGTTTTTCCCATTAACTAAAAAAAACCGACGCGACACCAAAGCGAAACGGAACGAAAACATATAGAAAAAAAAAATATCACTTACTGTCCTCGCCCTGGCAGGGCATTCCGGGCTGCGACGGCACATTGGGGAAAACTGTGGACAAAACAATATAAATTAGGCCATTTTTTTCACTGGACAGACTATCTCTAATAACTTTTAACATTTTTTAGACAAACATGCACCGAATACACGCCGTTTTTATTTATTTGTGTTGAAAAATGTTATTGTGTTGTGGTGCAGGTTCGAGTTATAAGTTTACAGAATGAAATAATTATTTCTCATCATAACAATTATCAGGGAGATAAGATAACGATAAATGTGACATGAAAAGAAAAAATAAAATATCTACATTTGCTATAAAACATTGAATTTATTGATGATTGTTTCAAAATATTATTTAAATGCAGCTAAATGTATGTCATAGAATTCAAATTACTATCTCGTATACGAGATGGCTATGAATCCAAAGCTTTCGCAGATTTTTTGTAACTATACTGGAGTGCAAAATTATCAGGACATTCAGATTTTATGTATTTTTTCGTTTTTACACAAAAACTTATTTAATTTTTTGGAATTGCATTTTAATAATGTCAAACCTGGACCTAACCAAGGCAAACATGAATAAACTAGCCACAACAGAAAGAACAATGGAAAGAGCAATGTTAGGTATACGACTGTCAGATAAAAAGAGGAACGACTGGGTAAGATCCAAAACTAAAATCGAGGACATAACAATAACAATTGCAAAACTTAAATGGAGCTTCGCGGGCCACACTGCTAGACAGAAAGACCAACGTTGCAATACTACAATACAACATTGGAGACCTTACGAAAGTAAACGACCAACAGGAACACCACAGATGAGATGGGTTAAAATATGTTGGGAGAAATATGTTGCTCAGGATAGAGACCAATGAAAGGAGTTGGGAGAGGCCTATGTCCAAACATGGACGACAGAAGGCTAAGAAGAAGAAGAACCTAGAGGGTGAGATTTAGGTGTTAAACTGTGATAAAATCTTATATTATGTTAATTGTCATTCATTCACTTCATTAAAAGATGATTTGAATCAATTACCCGCTTTAATTTACATTCGATTTTTATACAGGCGTACTTTTCACCTCTAAAACATAAAAACAACCAACGGCACAAGTCCAAAAGTAAAGTAGAGGGTAAGCAGAACCTCAACCCAAATTTTCATGAAATTCGGTGGTGACACGGACAATTACACGGTGTAGCCGTATTTCACGTTGATTTACCGGTCTATTAGATGCCTTCGTCATCGGGACACAGTCATCCAGTTTTTTGTATGCTTTGCACAGTATGGATATGAATTACCTGTGGGTTGAACAAGACTGTGCTGTATAAGCCATACATGTGACATATACATTTACTACTAACAAACATTTTCAATTCCATTTCCATGATTAAAATTGACTACCGGCGCAGGGCTGATTAAAAGTTTTTTTAAATCATGAATGTGTTGGTTGTGTGAGTCCATTTCAAATAGGTAAAGAAATAATAAATAAGACTTACTCACAATCAATTTAATTTAACTATCAGACGACCGATTTCGCTTTCTACTATATGCAAAGCATCTTCAGGTCTCGATACAAAGTTAAATAAATGCTGAAATGATAAAAACCCATATTAGGGTGTTGTCTAATAAAGATAAACAAATTAGATGTTATAAATTACAATAATTATGCCAATATTGCATGTCTGTGGTTTTATTTCAAAATGAGTAAATTGAATAAAAAGGTATAAAAAGTTTTAAAAGTTTAAGCAGACTAGGTAAGACCCACAAATTTTTATAAAATAGTATATTAGATTGTAATAAATTAATAAATGAGAAAATAAATAAAAATTACTTACATGCCGATACTTTATTAATTGATGGATGGTAGAACATGGTTGAAACTACTATGTATTGTTGAATGGAGAACTCAATTCTGCTATTGTGGTTGTATGACAGTAAACGGGAAGTTCTTGAGGAGATAGATTTGATCCAATGAAGCAGAGATATGTGTGATTTTTTGTTAAATGAGATATCAGAGATATCAGAGATATGTGTGTTAAATGTGATATCATTTAACAAACAATCACACACATATCTCTGCTTCATTGGATCAAACCTATCTCCTCAAGAACTTCCCGTTTACTGTCAAACAACTACAATAGCAGAATTGAGTTCTCCATTCAACAATACATAGTAGTTTCAACCATGTTCTACCATCCATCAATTAATAGAGTACCGGCATGTAAGTAATTTTTATTTATTTGCTCATTTATTAATTTATTACAATCCAATAGACTATTTTATAACAATTTGTGGTCTTACCTAGTCTGCTTAAACTTTTAAAACTTTTTATACCTTATTATTCAACTCACACATTTTGAAATAAAACCACAGACATGTAATATTGGCATAATTATTGTAATTTACAACATCTAATTTGTTTATCTTTATTAGACAACACCCTAATATGGGTTTTTTATCATTTCAGCATTTATTTAACTTTGTATCGAGACCTGAAGATGCTTTGCATATTGTAGAAAGCGAAACCGGTCGTCTGATAGTTAAATTAAATTGATTGTGTGTAAGTCTTATTTATTATTTCTTTACCTATTTAAAAGTTTTTTGGTCACGAATTTATGCCATCAAACCATGATTATGCACAAGGAGAAAATTCATCGAATTTGCCTTTCATGCTATTCCATAGGTAATATGCTGAGGACATCTAGGAGGTAAATAAAGTTTACAATATTTAGTTAAATTAAAAATCTGCGTTTTTTATCAGAATTACTCATTGCGTGACACTCTGTATATCACATGGAAAATTTTGCTGTCTGACTCACGATTACTTAATTATCTTTGGTTTAACAAAACGCTGTAACTTAAAAAAGTCGTTTACCTTTTTCTCCCATTAACAAATAAATAAACGGAAAACACATCACTATTTTCTTTTCACAATTTTAAACAGTGCATCACAAACACATTCAAATACGATATACAAGTATTTCACTTGATATTCATGTGAACGTGAATATTCATAAAATTGAATGATTGTATGTAGTAATCTGTTTGCTGCAGCTGCACTATTCATCCTATTTTTTACATAACTATCAATGTTTTAGTAAAAAATGTTTGTATTTCACAAATGATATAATGCTATACACCGCTCAAACAAAAATATGTAATTGAAAGTAATGTAATATGCTGTGTTGTATATTTAGTCATACGTGTATATTATCATCAATTACTGTTGTTGGGACAGGACATCCAGACGAAGAAGTCCAAATATTCTACGACCAAATATCCTGTGCAATCAAGGAAAATCCTGGCCACTTCTTAATAATAGGTGGTGACTTCAACGCCAAAATAGGCACTAAGGAAGACCCCTCTGAAATAATATTGGGAAATTTTGGAAGCGAAGGCAGAAATGATAGAGGCAAACAACTACTGACTTTTCCTTTTGGAAAACAATCTCTATCAAATGAACAGCTTCTTTAAAAAGAAAAAACACAGAAGATAGACATGGGAAAGTCCTGATGGAAAAACAAGGAACGAAATCGACTATTTCTTAACAAACAAAAAAGAATTATTTAAAGAGATAAATGTGCTAAACCAGTTCAGTACAAGCAGTGATCATAGGTTAGTAAGAACTAAAATAACGATATCAACCGAAAAAGAAAGACTCAAAATGATAAATAAGAAAACAACCAAAGAAATGGACAAAACCAACTAACATTCAGGAGTTCGAAAAATATATTGGGAATTCATTGAAAGATACAACAACAGCTGACATCAATATATTGAACAAACAAATAGTCAACACAATGCAACAGGCTCAAACTAAATATTGTCCGACAAGCAAAAAAGATGAAAAACTGAGTCAACCCACGAAAACCCTTATAGAACTAAGGCGACAAATGAAAGGAGATAACACTGCAAGCAAAGAAGCGATAAATCAAATAAATAAGACGATCACAAAGGCAATAAGAAAAGACATAAGAAACTACAATGTAGAAAAAACAAAACAGGCAATAGAGAAAAATAAGAACATGAAAGTTTTGAAGAGGAGCGTACAAAAGGGGAAAATAGAAATTAACAAACTGAGAAACAGAACTGGAGAAGAAACAACGAACAGAGATGAAATATTAAGAATAGTCGAAGAGTTCTACACAGAGTTATATAGATCAAGAAAAAAAGATAACAATACGGAACCTCCAATTACACTAAAAACTGGGGTATTAAACCAAGGATCAGATTTAATGCCCAATATAACAAAATCAGAAATCAAAGAAGCCCTGAAGAAAATGAAAAATAATCGAACCCCGGGTGAAGATGGAATAGTATCAGAAGCACTAAAAATTGGAGGGGATGTATTACTTGAAAAAATTAAACAACTTTTCAATATCTGCCTTCACAGCGCCAATATTCCAACAGACTGGAACAACGCTACTATGATTCTATTACACAAAGCAGGAGACAAAGCAAATTTAGAGAATTACAGACCGATTAGCCTCCTCAGCCATATATATATATATATATATATATATATATATATATATATATATATATATATATATATATATATATAAGTTGTTTACGCGAATACTAGTTAAGAGAATGGAAAGAAAATTAGAGACTTATCAACCAAGGGAACAGGCAGGATTCCGAAAAAGTTACGGAACAAATGACCATCTACAAAGTATAAAAACCCTAATAGAGAAAGCAGTGGAATACAATAAACCTCTAGTTCTAATATTTATCGATTTTCACAAAGCCTTTGACACAGTTGAGCTAAGCAAAATATTACAGGCGCTTAAAGAATGCAGGCTAGATTATAGATATACTAAATTATTATACAAAATATACCTGCAGGCAACAACCACTGTCAAATTACATACTAACAGTAATCGCATAAAAATAGAACGGGGGGTTAGACAAGGAGACCCAATGTCACCTAAACTTTTTAATACGGTGCTAGAACATGCTTTTAAGAATTTGGATTGGATGACAAAGGGAATAAAAATAGATGGAGAATATCTAAACAACTTACGTTTCGCCGATGATATACTTATAATAGCT